GGCCTCGGCAGGCCTGCTGGCCGAGCCAGCGCCCGACCGCCCGGCTCAGCAGACCGGCAGTCTGGTCCAGACTGGTTCAGTCCGTTTCAGACCAGTTGGACCGGTTCAGCCCTTAATTTTATGTTTTAGTCCCGGTTCATATTTTAAATCCCATTTTCAGTTAAAATTTCGGGTCCAGTTCAATTCAGTAATTCGGTTGAATTTTCAGTTCAGTCAGTTCAGTCATGATCAATCATGTTCTGTCATGATCAGTCATGTGCAGTCAGTTCAACTCAGTTTAGCAGTACCAGTTCAGTCCAGTCTTTCTTATCAGTTAAGTTAGACCCCGAGATGGTTCCAGTTAACTATGCAGATCGAGTCGAGCATCTTAACAGCTATTTTAATCAGTCTGAACATAGTACTTAGTATTTGTTTATATATGTCAGTTTTGCAGGCAATCAGCACTTACATTTTCAGATCAGCATTTCAGGTGGGGACTCAGACTGGGTATTACATTGATTATAATTAGCTACCATGTTTGAGGTATGTATTATCAGTATCCGCTCGGAATGGTCGCCGGTCCATTCTGGGATCTAGTGGCCTTAATCTGCCCACTAGAGTGTGCACATGGTGTCCGACATTTTATGCTGGCAGATGTTCAGTTATCAGTCAGGTGATTTATATCACGAGATCAGTATCAGATTATTCAGTACCGGTATCAGATATCAGTTTCAGTTTCAGTTCAGTTATATATGCCAGGATCATGATATTGTAATTATTTTCACTGTTTACTTTAGTATGAGTTTCTGCGGAGCACAGTGTATTAGTGCTCACGCCCCCACGTTTTTCATGTTTTTCAGGTCACAGAGTCGGAGCCGAGGAGTGAGCGGGCGACCGGTTTAGGACATTTTGTTTGTATGTATATATTATGTTTTGGCTACACTGATGTTTCTGCTACAGTTTCCAGTACTCTAAACCAACTTTTGATCCGACACTAGTCGGTAATATATTAGATAACCGTTTTTATTATCAGTTTGAAAATTAACAGTTTTCAGAAAAGTCAGATTTTATGGTAGCACCCCGAATCAGATTTCGCAAAAGAAATATTTTACTTATTTTATTTTGTTAATTTGCGAAAAAGCGCACTCTGATTTTCATGAAATAGCGGAGTGTTACACAAGGTGTCTTCTAATGAGGGAAAGAAATGATACGAACAAAAGGCAGCCGAGCCCGGCACACCGACCTCAGCGTCAACGGCGAGCTCCCAGTTGGCAACGTGATTACTATATGATGAAGGATTGAAGTGGCTCGGATCGTATTTTAATGTTAGGCTTGTTATTTATTTATTTTCCTCTTGATGGTATTATATTATTTCCATAGGTGTGAGTTCTTCGAAGTTAGGTATCTTTGGTATTATATAAATATGTTGCTATCTCATTATTTTGGGACATAAGAAATATATATGAAAAAGAGTTTCGACTCAAGGAGTTAGCGTTTGCTCGAAGTAACGCACATCTACAAGATCGTATCAATTGGTGCTCTCGTTGAGAGATGACGAAGACGGACAACAAGATGGATGATCTCACGCTCAAGCAACTTCAAGAGAGATTTGACAGACAAACTTTGAAGCAACAACAAAAAAATCAGAGTGTGCATGAATCGATTGAAGAACTTAAATCGATGATGCAAAATCTCTCGAAGCAGTTGGTGGGAGGAAGTACAGGAGGGTCCTTTGAGAGGAGCACAACTCCTCCATATCGTCATCCAATTATGAAGTTGGATTTACCTTGATTTGATGGAACTGATCCTGATGGGTGGATTTTTAGGGTGCAAGAATATTTTAATTACCATGAGACTCCTGATGATCAACGAATTCATATTGTTTCTTTCACGATGGAGGGAAAGGCATCGGAGTGGTACCAGTGGGCGAAGGGCAGCAATATCTTGTGTTCGTGGAGCGAGCTCTTACGACAAGTTAGAATTCGATTCGGGCCCTCCCAATTTGAAGATTATGTGGGAAAATTATCTAAATTGACGCAACAAGGCACGACGGAGGATTACCAGGCTGAATTTGAATGCCTAATGAACAAAGTGACATCGATTAGCGAACCTGTGTTGATTTCGGTGTTCATAGATGGCCTAAAAGCTGATATTCAACGTGAGTTACTTATTTCCATGCCCAAAACATTGGTGGAAGCTTTTGCACTAGCGAGGGTTTATGAATCGAGGTACGCAGAGGCTACACCCAAGTACCGGGTAGCGAACCGATAGGGTGGTATTACAAAGACAACACTTGATTCGGGGGGCACAAGAAACACACAAGCTGGAACACCAACCACAACAGGTAAAGTGGCTGGGATCACAACCCAGATTCGAAGTGATAGTGTTCAGGTGGTGAAAGGATCCAAAGGGTCCATTCCAGTCAAGAATATTAGTCGGGCTGAGATGAAGGAGCGACGACTCAAGGGCTTGTGCTATAATTGTGATGATAAGTGGTCTCCGTCCCATAAATGCGCTAATTTGTTCTTGATATACGTAGGATCAGATGAGGACTTGGAAGAAATTCCCGAGCCTTTAGAAGAGGAAGAGTTGACTATCCAAGGCGATGCTTCTAGTCTCAATGCATTAGCTGGCTCGGATAGTCCTCGATCGTTGCGAATATGGGGAAGAATTAACGAGAAGCGTGTCCACGTGTTGATAGACAGCGGGAGTACACATAACTTCATTCGGCCTGAAGTTGCAGAATGCTTGAGGTTACCGGTGAAACCTATAGCACCTTTTAAGGGTTATGTGGGGAGTGGCGACTCACTAGTTTTCCCAAATCAAAGTCTAGAGTTAGCTCTAGAGATGCAGGGGACGAGTTTCGAAGTTGCACTTTATGTATTACCTATTCAAGGGCCCAAAATTGTCCTGGGGATGCCATGGCTTCGTGAATTTGGAAGGGTTGTTCATGACTATAAACAATTAACCATGGAATTTGAATGGAACGGTAAAAGGGTAAACTTGCAAGGAGTTGAAGGAATGGAGCCGAGGCAAATTTCTTACAATCGGTTGTGTACATTAATGGAGACTGATACAGTACACGAAATTTATGAGATCATTGAAGTCCCAAAAATTCCCGAGCAAATGAATGATCGAGAACCAGCAGACCCTTTAGCAGGAATGCCTGGGAGTTTTCGAGAACTCTTGAAGGATACGAGGGAATTTTTGGCGAACCAGATGGGTTACCGCCTCGGCGGATATTTGATCATCGCATTCATCTACAGCCAGGGTCGCGGCCTGTCAACATTCGACCATATCGATATCCCTACTTTCAAAAAGACGAGATTGAGAAGTTGGTGAAAGAGATGTTAAATCAAGGGATAATAAAAAAGAGTCATAGCCCGTTCTCATCGCATGTGCTTTTGGTCAAGAAAAAAGATGGTACCTACAGGTTTTGTGTCGACTACAGAGCTTTGAATTCACTTACCGTAAAGGATAAATTTCCAATCCCTACGGCTGATGAATTGTTTGATGAGTTAGGAAAGGCTCGATACTTTTCTAAGTTAGACTTGCGAGCAGGTTACCATCAAATCCGAGTTCATGAAAAGGACATCTATAAGACATCTTTTCGCACTCATGAAGGGCACTATGAGTTTCTCGTGATGCCGTTCGAACTTACCAATGCCCCATCAACGTTTCAGGCTGTCATGAACAGTACCTCGGCGGATTATTTACGAAAATTCGTTGTCGTTTTCTTTGATGACATTTTAATTTATAGTCCGTCGATCGAGGATCATCTATCACAATTGGCGGTTGTTCTCAAGTGTTTACAGACTAATAATATTTTTGTTAGACTGAAAAAATGCCAATTTTGTAAAACTCAAATTGAATATCTCGGTCACATAATTCAGGCAGGTGGAATTCGGGTAGATGATCGTAAAATTGAGGTTATGGTGCAATGGCCTATTCCCAAGAACTTAAAGCAGCTGAGGGGGTTTCTCGGGCTTACTGGATATTACTGCCAATTTATAAAAGGATATGCGGAAATAGCAGCCCCTCTTACTAACTTACTTAAAAAAAATGCTTTTCAGTGGTCTACAGAAGATGAATTGGCGTTTAATCAGTTAAAAGGGATCATGACTCAGACACCTTTGTTGCGATTACCGGATTTTGAAGTGACTTTTGTTGTCGAGGCAGATGCTAGCGGAACAGGCCTTGGAGCGGTGCCAATGCAACAAGGACAACCCATTGCATATTTCAGCAAGAAATTAGCACCACGGGTCAGAATAAGTTTCACATATAATAGGGAGTTACACGCGATTGCGGAGGTTGTACAGAAGTGGAGGCAATATCTATTGGGTCGACACTTTGTGATTAGGACTGATCAGAGAAGTATTAAAGAACTTCTTCTCCCAGGTCATGCACACACCGGAGCAGCAGGTACATATTAGGAAACTATTGGGATTTGATTTTGTCATCGAATATAAGGCCGGAGTGGAAAATAAAGTTGCAGATGCGTTATTCCGCCGAGACGAGGATCTAGGCGAAGATGATGGGAAAAGTAGTCAATTGAAAATGTTGGTTTCAGTCCCTATTAATCGAATTATTGAGGAGCTGGAACGAGAAAATAAAGAACTTCCTTCTATGATTCGTTTACACAAAGACTGGGAGAATGGAGCATTACCGGAGGATTGGATGGTGATGAATGGAAAATTGTTAAAAAAAAGGGAGGCTTTATTTGAATGAAGATTCAAAACTCAAGGACACGATCATGTTTGAGTGTCATTCTACTCCGCTGTCTGAGCACACGGGTGTCTCTCGAACCTTGGCTCGGGCGTCAGCTAACTTCTATTGGGATGGAATGCGGGGGGATATCCGTAGGTTCATTAGTTCTTGTCCGATATGTCAAAGTGTGAAGTCTATAAATAAGCCGCCGGCTGGACTATTGCAACCACTTTCAATTCCACAGAAGGTGTGGGATGATATTTCTATGGATTTTATCGTTGGTCTGCCAATCTCTAATGGTTGCACGTCCATTATGGTTGTGGTGGATAGACTCTCCAAGTTTGTTCATTTTGTCGGCTTACCCTCCCAATTCACAGCATCGAAAGTTGCGGAGGTTTTTGTGGAGGCTGTAGTTAAGTTGCATGGATTTCTGAAAACAACTGTAACTGATAGAGATCCAATTTTCATGAGCAAGTTTTGGACGACTATGAGTGAATTAAGTGGTACAAAACTCCTCCACAGTACCGCATATCATCCACAAACAGACGGGCAAACGGAGGTGGTGAACCATGTTTTGGAGCAATATCTTAGTTGTTTTGTTAGTGAACGACCAACGTCATGGCGCAAAATGTTGGCCTGGGCATAATTTTGCCATAGCACCAGCTTCAATAGCAGTATTCAAATGACTCCGTTTCGTGCGCTATGTGGTCGTGATCCTCCGCCCATAATTCCTTATGATCGCGGTGCAACCAATGTGCAGGCCTTGGATGATCAGCTCGCCGAGCGTGATTTATTAATACGTGATGTTCGAGCGAATATACTCCAAGCTCAGAACCGAATGCAACAAAAAGCAAATGAGAAAAGACGTGACGTCGAGTATGAGGTGGGTGACTTGGTTCTCCTTAAGTTGCAGCCTTATCGTCAATATTCGGTAGCTCGACGTGCTTCGCATAAACTTGGTTACCGCTATTATGGGCCATTTCAGATTTTGGAAAGGATTAGTCAGGTTGCCTATCGACTTGAGCTTCCACGGGACTAAAAAATTCATAATGTCTTCCATGTATCCCAGTTTAAGGCTTTTAAGGGTGAAGCTCCAGCCGAAAGTAGCACGTTACCTGCTTATGTTCCTGACGGGGGTTTGACAATTACTCCTCTTGCCATTCTGGGAGAAAAACATGTTTTGCATAATGGTCAGTTGGAACGCATGGTGCTAGTCCAGTGGCAAGGTCTTCATCCTGAAGAAACAACCTGGGAGTTAGCTTCTAGAATTGAAAGTGAGCTGCCACAAAAACACCTTGAGGACAAGTTGTCTTCTAATGAGGGAGGAAATGATACGAACAAAAGGCAGCCGATCCCGGCACACCGACCTCAGCGTCAACGGCGAGCTCCCAGTTGGCAACGTGATTACTATATGATGAAGGATCGAAGTGGCTCGGATCGTATTTTAATGTTAGGCTTGTTATTTATTTATTTTCCTCTTGATGGTATTATATTATTTCCATAGGTGTGAGTTCTTCGAGGTTAGGTATCTTTGATATTCTTAGGGTTAGATATAAATATGTTGCTATCTCATTATTTTGGGACATAAAAAATATATATGAAAAAGAGTTTGACTCAAGGAGTTAGCGTTTGCTCGAAGTAACGCACGTCTTGAATACAAGGTCGCATCATATTTGGATTAACAAATACTCAGTTTGAGGTATACATTTTGAAAAGCTAATAATGAAATGCGTCTGTTTCGGGCACAAGGGATTGAGTGGGGCTCGTCTCATTAATCGAGTGCATACCGTCGAGCTGGTCTTGACATGTAAATGTGAATAAGCTCATTTTAGTATCCCTTTAATTTAAAAGGTTTAACATTAATTAGGGAAGGTTGTTGCCCTGAAGGCAAGGGTGGTTCCACCTGGTAGAACAGGTCGGCGAAAGTGGTCCAATCGCTCGGATCGTTAAAGAAAATATCGGGCTTTTCCAAAAGGTTAAATTGTCAAAAAATATTTTTCAATTTTAAACACATACGACGTTATCACATCGTCATCATATACAACTCAAGTCATATTAGAGCCTACGGGAACTCATTGCCCGATTTATCACGTAACATGCATGCGAGATTCCATCATCAATTCATCATAACAATCCTGAAATATGAAATAAACTAAATCATAATCATCATATCCTCATGATCAAACCAAGTTCAACATATCATCATAAAGTTCTAATCATCATCATGTTCGAAAATTCCAAAAACAAGTTCATGATTATTAGCGGAAGCATAAATAGCTCAAATAATAAAGCAAATAATGACCAGCCACTTGTCTTCTATCGCCATGCCACCTACTCAACCTGAAATGGGGGAGGAGACATGGGGTGAACAAACCACTAGCTCACCACTATGTATATAAATTCAGAATAATAACAAATAGTATGGTCGCTGCATGAACATGAATCAATCATAATATTACGTCTTCTATCATCATATAATACTCATAGGCACACATATAAAATCCAGTGAAGGTGAAAACTGCACTCAACAATGGGAGTACATGCCGAAGGTCGAAACCGCACACAATGATATGGCATGTCATTAGGCTAAGGAAGACTGCCTCTCATTTGGCACCGTCTAAGGTCGAAACCGCACACGACAACGGGGATAACCGTTCAAAGGTCGAAACCGCACACATCGAAGGTTACATGGTTCACACGCATACATTGATCACACAATCTAGCAATTATAAAGAATTATATCATAGAAATTTAATAACACCAACCTGGAAATCGAGGTAGGATAAAGCACAAAGTCTGCTTGACGTAGGTCGAGGTATCGACTCCACAGACAACTATATTTAATCAAGATAATTATTAATAAATACATTATCTCGGTACTTAGAAAGATTCACGAGAATTCATACTTATTCTAAAATTATCTACTAAATAGTTCGTGGAATTTTTTAGAATTTGAAACTCTTGGATTTTAAGGAAAGACTTAGAAAATCACTAAAAAGACTAGAAAATGGGTTTGACATGGCACGAGTCCGGCTGCATGCCTCGACTGAGGTTTTTGGAGTTGGGCTAGGGGAACTCGGTGAAATTTTGACACAACAAAATACACCTAAAAAGGGACCACAACACAAAAGTTGGACCCTTAAATATCACCCTAACCAATAAAACAAAAATTTGCAAAAGAACGGCCATAATGAGGGGATTTCATTCCAATAGGCTAGGCTTGGAGTTTTTCCATGAACATTTAACAGCAAGCTAGATATCATATAAGACTCTTAACCTCAGAATTTCAGGCAATTTGGACATGCGAATCTTTTTATACAAATTTTTAAAGTTCTGAGGTATATGGAGCATGTTTAGGTTCAGAAACCTACAGGTCGAGTTAAGGGCTGAAACTTTAACACATCATACCTCATTATAATAGGAGACAACCCTCAAAATTACAGATCAAAATATCATGTGTACGATTTTTCATGAATTTTAGAAGTTTTGAGACACAAACGACAACTCTTAGTTCAGATAGCTACGGATCTAGTTAAGAGCTGAAACTTCAACACAATATCACTCATCATAACATGAGCTTAACCTCCAAATTTCAGCTACATAAAACAAGTACACGATTTTATATAATTTTTCCAAGTTTCAGACACTAAGGCTTCAAAAGGCATCAATCAACTCTGCAAGGTTCCAAACTCGAACTAAGGCATCAAAATATGACTTAATGAACACCAGGAGTTCCACAAATCCACAAGATTTCATAAGGTCTTCAAGATATAATGATTTATCATATAAATCACATAAACCTCAATTTACCTTAATAGGTCCAACACCATAAACAATGAATCTACTAAATACAAATTATTAACTTATCCTAGGACGATGAGTGAATCGATTTGAGTCCCTTTTCTAGGGTTTTCTCTCTGTTTCTAGAGTCTTAGTTCCTTCTATAGGATTTGTTCTCCTGAGTTCCAATCGTTCCCTTCTCTGTTGTTGATCGAGCCTTTCGTAGTCGTTTGCATCTCCCTCATTTCATATTCGTTTGCTGCCTAGCCGTTTGCATTGCTTTCTTTTCAGATGTGGATTATGAGTTCTAGTTGGTTTTATGGTAGCTGTGCACTCACGGTAAGTTCAAAACGAGTCTGGGTTTTTTGTGTTTAGTAGCATAGTCTCTTTCCACTCTCCATTCTGTGTTTGATGGTTAGGGTTCTGATTACTTTTATAAGCTTTCATTTTCATGGTGCCCTAAGTGTATTTTCAGTTGCTAATCTGATATATTGTGCGAATTGTTTGATTGTGGCTTTGGTTGTGACTTGTATGTGAATCTTTGTTGTGCTGCTTCTGTTTGAATTGATTCAGTGCTTAGTGATGGATCAGGAAATATCTGATAAGCTGCATAAGTTTAAACTCTCTGATAAAGAAGAACATGGGTTAGTGTTATCTAGCGAAGAAATTGCCCCTGGTTTTAAAGAATGTCAGTTAAGCCTTATGGGAAAAATTTATGGGGAAAAAAGGTTAATTTTGGGGGTCTGAAAACTACTCTGGGCAACATATGGATCACTAAACAACCTTTTTCAATCCGTAATTTAGGCAATAACTGCTTTCAATTCTTATTTCAATCTGAGCTAGATAGAGATAGAATCCTAGCCGGTAAATCCTGGTCTTTTGATGGGCAATATTTATTGTTGAAATTATGAAATTCTGAGAACAATGAGTTCAATGAAGAAGATGAGAAAATTAAAATATGGGTCCAAATACACAACTTGCCTTTGCACTGGATCTCTACTGAAATAGCGCTTAAACTGGGTAACATCATAGGTCAAGCTTTAAGTGTCCAAGTTCCAGGCATTGGAAATCTGTATGGTCAAATTTTGAAAGTTTTAATTGAAATCCCTCTCTAAGAACCTTTACTGAGAGGAACACATATAAAAGTGGGGGAGGATAATAAATTGGTGGCCTTTAAATATGAAAACATCCAAACTTTCTGCTTTTACTGTGGGAGGATTGGCCACTCAGGTAAGAACTGTACCAAAAAGACTGAGATGTTAAACTGAATAAGCTAAGTTTGGGTCAATTTGGTGATTGGCTAAAGTCTAACAGTTCCTCATCTAGTAGCTATAGAAGTCCAGGGAGTCAAAATAGGGAAAGTCATACTAGCTCTGATGCTCATGTGGCTACCCCTATTATTAATACTGATAAAAGTGTAGTGGGGGACAAAAGCAGCCATGGTGAGCCAATCCAACCACCTATCCTGGGTACCTCTGAAAAAGGGAAAGGTAAGGCCAATGATACAGATGCTATCATCTTGGTTGAAAATAGGGAGTTCAGGAGGAGGTTCCTTCATCCCCAAAGGAACTGATTCCTAACAAGGATCCTTCACTTAATATTGAGGCTAATCTCGTGGAAGTTAGTGTCCAACCTTTAGGTTCTGGTAGGAAAATTGTTCATAGGAAAAGGACTAGAGGTCCTAAAAAGAACTCAGAGCAAATGATCATTGATGTGGCTAAGGTATCTAGGAATGAATCTGGTTTGAATCAAAACAAGAGACCTCATGAGGTGTTGACACAGGATGCTGACTCCTCTGATAATGCTCTTGTTCAGAATAAAAAATTGAAACAAAATGAGTTGTCTAATGCTGAAATGGTGGAGGAAACCAGCCATAACTGGTCCCAAGGTGCCCAATGAAGGCTCTGGTGTGGAATTGTATAGGTTTGGGAGGACCCTCTACAATTTCCCAGTTCAAGGATTCCTTAAGGATCCATCTCCCTGATTTTGCTTTTCTATCTGAAACAAAAAAAAAAAAAAAAAAAAAAAAAAAAAAAAAAATGTTGAGTCTATGCGTAAAAAGCTTAAGCTTGGTGATAACTGGTTTTATGCTAAACCAGTTGGTTTTAAAGGAGGGTTGTTTCTGTGGTGTTCAGAGAGGATTTCCATCCTTCAAATCATCCCCTCTGAATTTTGTCTAGAGGTCAAGTTTTCCTTTTCTGGTCATTCTGATGCATTTTGGGGTATCTTCATTTATGCTAGTACTGATAATGAGATCAGAAAATTTCAGTGGGAGGTCTTAGTTAGGCATAGCTTATATTTGGGGATGCTTGGTGTTTTTGTGGGGACTTTAATGACATTGATGATCATTCTGAAAAATCTGGTGGGCTTAAAAGAGATGAAGCCAGTTTCACAGACTTTAGGAACTTGATTGCTACTTTGGGAGTGGTTGAAGCCAATGTGCTTGGGCACCCTTACACCTGGACTAACAACAGAAAAGGTGATAAGGCCATTGAAGAGAAACTGGACAGGTTTCTTTTCTTCCATAGTTGGTTCAATCATTTCCCTCATTCTCAAATATCTCACCTCTCTGTGAGTTCATCAGATCATTCCATGTTGTTATTGCATTGCAATCCTGGTTGTGAGTCCATTAAACATAGGTTTGTTTTTTATATTAGGTGGGTGCATATGGAAGGCTTTCAGGACACTGTGTGTTTAGCTTGGAACTTAGATGTGTCTGGTCATGCCCTTTTTAGTATTCAGCAGAGATTGAAAAATGTTAGAAAGGTTATATTAAATTGGAAGCAGGGTACTGATTTGAATGCTATGTCTATTATTAATAAGTGTAAGGTCAAGTTGGATCTGCTTAGAAAACAAGGGGGGAAAGAGATTGGGGTGAATGGAGTAGATGTAAACTGGAGTCCCAACTAGCCTATGAGAGTGAGGAGCTTTTCTGGAAACAGAAAGCCAGGGTTCTCTGGCTTAAGAAAGGTGATAGAAACTCCAAATTCTTTCATGCTAGTGTGAGACAGAGAAGAAAGCTCAATAACCTCAATAATATTGTTAAAGCTGATGGGACTAGGTGTTATAATCTAGGGGAAGTTTTGTCAGAAATTGTTGATTACTTTGGAAATCTCTTCCAATCTTCCCAACCTCTTGATAATAGTTGCAGATGGTATTTCCAGAAATAT